CAGTCATTTACACATGCCATGCTGTAAAAGATGGTTCTTAACTTTATAACATCGTTTAAGTAGGTTGTAAACTCCAACTTCACATAGGTAGTAACAAATCATAACCGATCCGAGGGGGTGGGGAGGCTGGGGAGGACATGTCCTTTTATTTTGCGATTTTTTATTTTTTATTTTTTTTAATTTTTTAATTTTTTTTTAACTTAGACTAGTGAGCAGCACCAAGAAGAACTCTTTGAGTAGTTGTAAAACTTTTTAATTTTCTAACGCGTTTCGTCTCTTAACGGAGACTTCTTCAGGGAATGATTATTACAACTATAGTACAGCAAAATATAATAATGTAAACGTGATTTACAACTTCCTAAGGAAGTTCGCATGGTCCCCTAATTATTAGTCACGACGTTGTTATATACACGTCCCTTTAAACAGCATATGTAAGCTTTTAGTTACTTCCTTAGGAAGTTGTAAATCACGTTTACATTATTATATTTTTTCAAAGGTTTTCCCGAGCAAGTAGTTGTGTTGAAGCGCTCACATGCCCACGTCGTGGCAAGGGCTTCTTTTTCGATCTGGGCGTACCTTTGCTCACATGCAGTTAGGGATCTCGATTGATAAGCCACGGGTCTCCAGCTCTGGTCTTTCTGCTTTTGTAAGAGGACAGCACCCAAGCCGTACGAAGATGCATCAGCTGAGACTCTGGTTTCCGCTTCCAGGTCGTAGTGAGCTAGCACCACTTCTTCGCTACAGAGAAGTTTCTTGAGGGCATTGAATGCTTCTTTCTGAGGGCTTTCCCATACCCAGGAATTCTTTGAGCTTAGTAGATCTCTCAGAGGCTTTGAGACTTCGGCTATTTTATCAGAAAACTTTCCGAGCTGATTCGTCATTCCTAGGAACCGCCTTAGCTCCGTTACATTGGTAGGGTCATTCATGTCCTGGATTGCCTTTACCTTCGCAGGGTCTGGACGTATACCCGACGCATCTACCACATGACCAAGGAATGTTATGCTTGACTTCGAGTACTCACATTTCTCAGCATTGAGGGTGACTCCTGCTTCCTCAAGTCTGCTCAGCACTTTTTCAAGGCGCTCGTCATGCTCCGCTTGGTTTCTCCCATAGACAAGTGTGTCGTCAATCATATTGACTGTCACTTCTACTCCAGCAAGAACAGATTGCAATCTCTTTTGAAAATACTCTGGTGCAGAGGTAATTCCGAACGGTAGCCTATTATAGCAAAACCGCCCGAAYGGTGTGATGAATGTTGTCAACAGGGTTGATTCCGGCGCAAGCTTGATTTGATAGAAGCCAGAGTTAGCATTTAATATTGAAAATACTGCAGCACCGCTCAACTGAGAGAGCAGATCGTCGACAGATGGGAGCATCAGTCTTTCGCGTCTAACTTGCTCGTTGAGTCGGGTCAGGTCCATACATACTCTAACATCGCCGTTGCCTTTTGGAACTGTTACAATAGGCGCACACCAATCTGTAGGTTGATCTACCTTCGATATTACACCTTGCTGTTCTAACTCTTCAAGCTTCTTTTTAACTTTAGGTAAGAGTGGCTTCGCAATTCGTCGTGGTGTGTTCACAGCGTAAGGTACAGCATTATCTTTTAATTCAATTTTGTAGTGCCCATCGAGCTTCCCTAGGCCTTTGAATAGCTTTGGATGTCTTGCATGCACAGATTCTTTGTTTGACTCTTCCACAGAATGGATAACTTTAACAAGTTGCAGAGCTTCTATGGCAGGTCTACCCAACAATGGATACTTCAAATTCTTGACCACGTAGATTTCTTGTTTTGTTTCAAGGTGATTAGCTTTCA